TAAAAGTGCACGCCTCATATTAAAAAAAAAAAGAAATAAATTGTATAATTGATTGTTAAAAGAAAAAAAAATAATTCATTTCTTACAGAACAAGATTATACTGAATATAATCCTAGATTATACTGAGTGAAAAAAAAATTCAGATAGTAGCTCGTATAATCCAGATAACAATGAGTATAATCCAGATTACAATGAGTATAATCCAGATATTATTCAGTATAATATGGATTATACTAGCTACCATCTGAAATTTTTTATTTGCCTCAGATGTCACTGAGTATAATCTGAGATGGTATCCAGTGTCATCTTGTTCTTTCCGTGTAGCAACATAAAATTATATTTATAAACTATAAGATGGATTAATTAAAGTGTTTTCTCGATGTATGTCTACTCATGTTACTGTACAAGTGCAATATGGTTGTGATAGAGACATTTGAAGCTCACAAAATTGCTTGACCTTGACGTGTCGGGAGTAAAGCACTACCTCAACCGCTTCGCGTTATGAGGCGTGCAATAATAATAAAAACACTTGCAATCATTGGGTAGGGCTCTATACTCAGGCAGGTCGGTGATAAAAAAGCTCTTCTTTTCTTCTCAATAATTTTCTTGAAGTTCATCGGATCAGCTTCAATCAACAACCCGGTCCAGCCTAGGAACCGTTCCAGGTTCAGTGTGTTGCTACGCGTTTCTCCATCATAAGCTCCACACTCTATGAAAAAGCCACCTTTCTATAAATTGTTAATTGTTAGTTAAGCTCAATCAATTATTTAAGTGGCAAAAATTATTCAAAATTTTCTATTATTAAAAATCGGCTGATTACTTTGTGGTCAAAATACTGTTTGATGATCTGGCTTTGTCCCATTGAAGGATCTTCGGTTTCAGGATCCTCCAGCCCGGAATAATTATTACTGTTCCTTGTGGTGTCAAGTATCCAATTTTTTCTTATTTCGTGCAACAATTTTTCATTAAACATTCCAATTTCTTTGTCATTGTACCATTTGTCGTCACTTGATAAGTTGTACCATTGATTTATTACTAGACAAAATTAAATGCAAAGTATAAAAAAAATATTTTTGTTAGAAAAATTTTTTTATTAACTATAAATAATAATAATTATGTAAATTATGAAAATATTATAGCAATTTTTAATTAACAATGTTTAATTGACAAAACCGGGAAGAATTTAAAAATAATTTTTTCACTTTAATTTTTATGACACTGAAGTTAGCAGACGTCTAAAAATTTTTGATTTTTTTTTTATCAATTAAATTACAACCAAAAAGATATTTTTAAAAAATTGCACTAATAGTCTTTCAAGTTTTTTACATGTGAAATTTTTTTTTTTTTAATTGTTTAATTGAAATTTTTTCAATAATAAATTTCTAAAAATTTTGAAATTTCGGCTAACTTCATTTTCATTAATTTTTGTGTATTAAAATGTTAATTTAAATATAAAAAAAAAAATTTTGTACAATCTCAACGCTTAAAAAAAAAAAAATTTTAAACTCTATAACTAATTTTTCTATAAGTTTTTTTAAACTTCACTGATAGAAGGATTTCTTAACATTTAAG